AGCACTCTGGCTGAGGCAGAAAGGATTCCCTCCCTCTCTTCTTTATAAGATGACTTGTTTATTTTTATTTTATGTGCATTGATATTTTTCCTGCATGTATGTCTGTGTGAGGGTGTTGGATCTCCTGGAACTGGAAATACAGAGAGTTGTGTACTGCCATGTGGGTACTGAACTGAACCCGGGTCCCCTGGAAGATCAGCCTCTTAACCTTTGAGCCCTCTCTTTCTTTTTCTTTATCCAAGCAGCGTGGAAGCTTTTCTCTCTTTCTTTCTTTCTTTCTTTCTTTCTTTCTCTCTCTCTTTCTTTCTCTCTTTCTTTCTCTCTTTCTTTCTTTTCTTCTATTTTTTGTTTGGTTTGTTTTGGTTTTTCCAGACAGTGTTTATCTGTGTAGCCCTGGCTGTCCTGTAGCTTGTTCTGTAGACCAGGCTGGCCTCAAACTCACAGAGATATGCCTGCCTCTGCCTCCCAAGTGCTGCTATGAATGGAGTTCGACATCACCTCCCGGCTCTTAGTTTCTAAATATCTAAGGGATGACCTTGGACTTTTAATCCCCGACTTTCGTCTCTTAAGTGATGAAATGATTGGTGTGTACTACCACACACAAAAGTGGCCTGGTTGGAAACAAGGGCTTTGTGAATGCTAGGCAAGCGCTGTAAAGCCTGGGATACATCCCCAGTCTCCAGAAAGACCATGAGTTCAAGACAAGTCTAGTCTACAAAGACAGAGCCTGTCTCAAAAAAAAAAAAAAAAAAGCCTGGGAGCTTAGTTTGCAAATCGCTTCCTGTGTTCCTGAAGGCCTGGCTCTCTTGGAAGAGAACTGTTGCCCGACTTCCACACATGGCCACTAGAGGGCGCGCCATAGCAGCCAAAGTCGCGAAGGACTTGGATGCTCCCCAAGCCGCATCCGGGTAAACAAAGCGGTCTAATTTTCAAAAGGCTGAAGAGGCCCCTACAGAGCGCCCACGCTTCGTCTCCTCATAAGTAAACAAACTTAACTACAATTTAATTTATTCTGAATTGTATCAACAATTAAAAAGAAATTACCCTCTTGCTCTATTTTCTTTCTGTTTATTTAAAATAGGTTCCTACTAACTTGAGCAATTTAATGTGGGGAACAATTGGATTTTAATGACCTTCTCTCCGGAGCTCAGCCTAGTAGATGGGTCCTCCTTTTCCACCTAGCTTTGATTTACGTCTCCCAACATCTTAATATGTCATTTTGTCTAATGATAGTTAACCTACTTCTACAGACACCGGGGGAAACATCCTTCTTCAGCCACCACAGTTCGCTGATTCGAGCACAAAAGGTAGAAAACAGCCCATTTCTGCCCCACCCTTTCCCGCTTCTTGTTTTCCTGTGCTGCTGCCTCTCTGCACCCCCGTGGTCCACCATCTGCAAGACTTTTGGAAGTGACCGTTATGTAAGGAAGGGGATAGAAATAACGCTTGGTTCAACCTTAGCCTGTGCTCTCTGAGTCACTTTGAGGGAGGAGGGGCACGAAGTAAACAAAACCCTATGCTGTTCACAATCACTAAAGAGTAGGGTCAACTCAAATGTCCACCAAAGACTGAAATGAATAAGCAAAGCATGAGGTCTGTCCGTGTGTGTTTGTGTGTTGGGGGGGGGGGGCGTGATAGTATAAACTTTCAACTTGACAGCTCAGAGGTAGCTTCCAGGCACACCTATGAGAGACTCTGAGAGCCTCTGGGAATTGTCTGTGGGAACTGTCTTAAGTTAGCTGATGTGGGTGGACTCATCCTAGCTGTGATGGAGACTTCCCTGAGCAGTGAACCTGTATAAAACAGAGCAAGCCAAGCGCTAGCATGCATGCATTAATTCCTTGCTTTCTGCTTCTGACTGAGGATGGAATGAACCAGCTGCTTCAGGTTCCTGACACCTTTCATCCCCAAAATGATGGACTGGCTGTGGCCAGGGGCCTTTCTCTTTTCAGGCGTTTTTGTAGGAGTTAACAGAGCTACACAAAACAAACCTAAGACAGGTGAATATAATCTCACTGCAAAAAGAATATAAAGTGGGGGCTGGAGAGATAGCTCAGAGGTTAAGAGCACTGACTGCTCTTCCAGAGGTCCTGAGTTCAATTCCCAGCAACCACATGGTGGCTCACAACCATCTGTAATGGGATCCGATGCCCTCTTCTAGTATTCTGGTATATCTGAAGACAGTAGTGATGTACCCTTATATATATATAATGAGTAAATCTGAACAACACATCACATGGAAAAACACAACCATGAAAGGCCACACCTCATAGTTGTCATTTGGGTAAAATGTCCAGAAGAGGCACTCACAGAAGCAAGAAGACATATTAGTGGTTTCCTGGGGCTGAGTGGAGGGGTAATGGAGAAGGACTGCTTCATAGAGGGTTTCCTCAGTGATGAAATCTTTTTAAAATAGTCATAAGATTTCAGGACACTGGATGTCCTCAGACCCACTGAGTTGTAGAGTTTCCATTTCAGTTATGACGACAAGGTCCAGTCCTCACAGAATATGCATCTGCTGGGTGCACACTGGAGATAAACCAGTAGATAAAGAGGTAACGTATCACATGAGTCTGAGGAGATGTGGGGAAAGAGTCCTAGTTAGCATTGCCTGCAGAGACTCCAGTCCTGTCCAAGTGGCCCTGTAGGTCACATGCCTGTTGATTTAGGCCAGCCTCTATATGGGGAGTTCTAAGCTAGCCAGGGCTACATAGCGAAACCTGTCTGGGGGCAGGGGGGAGGCAAATGTTAACAACTTCTGGGCCTTGTCAGATTAAGCATGTGCTCTACCACAGAGATATCTCCTTAACAGCAAGACCTGTCCAGCTTCGGCTGGGAACATGGCTCGGTTGGTAGAATGCTTGCACATGTGCACCAAGTCCTGGACTGTAACCCCAGCACCACACAAGTTAGTCATGGTGGCACTCACTTCTAACCCAGCACTTAGGGGGTGGAGACAGGAGGGCCGGAAAGTTTAGGTCATCATAAGCTACACAGTGAATCCAGGTCAGCCTGGGCTACATAATGTTCACAGATGCTGGGGGTAGAACAGAGTCTCACGCTGGGTAAGTGCTCTGCCACTGAGCCACAGCTCCAGCAAACGGATGGCCTTAGAGAAAGGTTTATTGGTCATCCTCAGGTCTGTCCTTTTTTATCTTATTTTTAAATATTATTTATGTCTTTGGGTGTTTCCCCTAGATGCATGTCCATACATCACACATATGCAGTACCCATGGGTGCCAAAAGAGGGCAATGAATCCCTTGGAACTTCAGTTACAGATGCTCTCGAGAGGCTCTGGGCCTGCTCATCACTTCTGAGACACTGGACCAGCCTAGTGTCAGTCCTTTCTAAGCTTTATAGAGGTTTGGGAAAGATTATAATAAGACAGTAAGATAAGATAATTTGATCCCTTCCTGAATTTTTTTTCCTTATGAAATTCAAAACAGAAACCAAACTGAACCGCCGGATGGGAAGGAAGATGAACCGTAAAGCACAGGCTCATTTTAAAGGGCCGTGAGACAAGCGTAATGACGCATGCAGAGCGTGCAGCCGTGAAACCCACAGGTGGCACAGACCAAGAGAGACCTGGATGCATGCTACAGACGTCAGTGAATGACGGTAATGAGCTGATGTCAGTCCACCAGTTGTACCTCTGCTAGACTGTGGGGGAGTCCAGACGGAGGTTGGGCCCGTGTGGGAAGCCCCTGTAGTTTCTGTTCTGTTTTCCTGTAAACGTGCTGTGGTTCTTATGAAATTGCTTTCTGAAGTCTATTTAAAAGTCTAGTGTAGCCGGGCGGTGGTGCACGCCTTTAATCCCAGCACTTGGGAAGCAGAGGCAGGCGGATTTCTGAGTTCGAGAGTTCGAGGCTATCCTGGTCTACAGAGTGAGTTCCAGGACAGCCAGGGCTACACAGAGAAACCCTGTCTGGAAAAATCAAACCAAACCAAAAAAAAAAAAAAAAAAAAAAAAAAAGTCTAGTGTATAGTAGAGTGGTTCACACCTTAAACCCCAGGAAGTGGGTGGTATTGGCAGGCAGAGCTCTGTGAGTTGGAGGCCAGCCTGTCTACAGAGCCAATTCTGGGACAGCCAAGGCTGCACTGAGAAACTCAGTCTCAGAAAAACTGAAAAAAAAAATTAGTTTATTTATTTTATGTGTGTTTGTGTTTTGCCTGCATGTATGTATTTACATTACTTTTATTCGATGCCTGAGAAGGAAAAGAAGCCATCAAACCCTGAAACTAGAATTACAAATGGTTGCGAGACACTGTGGGCAAGCCAGGAGCAAGCCTGGGTCCTCTGCAAGAACAGCAAGTGTTAGCCAGGCAGTGGTAGCTCGCGTCTTTAATCCCAGCACTTGGGAGGCTGCGGCAGGTGGATTTCTGAGTTTGAGGCCAGCCTGGTCTACAGAGTGAGTTCCAGGACACCCCGGGCTACACAGAGAAATCCTGTCTTGGAAAAAACAAACAAACAGACACTCCCCCCAAAAAAACAACAACAACAACAACAACAACAAAACCCAGCAAGCATTCTAAACCATCTCTCCAGCTCTGGTAATAATCTTTTTGCTTTGTTTTGCTTTTTGTTTTTGTTTGTTACTATAGCATATACCCATATAGTCTCAGCTACTCTCAGGATTGCTTGGACCCAAAAGTCTGAAGCCAGGCTACACTACCTAACAAGGTCACAATTCACTAGTCTGGAGATGTGGGTTGTTTGTAGAGTTCATGCTTCCAAAGCATAAAGCCTGGCTTCCATCCCCCAGAACCGCCAAAGCCCAAATTTACTCTTAATAGAGATTTAGAGACTTAGTGCAGGGGAAGAGAAAGAAATATAAAGTACTCTCTCCTTTGGGCCTAATTAACAAATTAAAGGTCTATAGTTGTTAAATGAGAACATGCTACAACATAAACAGTGAAAGGACTGTAAAAACATTCTTCAAATATGTTCTAGGAATGGTACCTCAAGGCTGAAGAGATGGCTCAGTGGTCAAGATGCATACTGTTCTTCTGGAGGACCCAAGTTCAGCTCCCAGTCCTGATGGTAGGCAGCTCACATGCTTGTAATTGCAGCCCCTGCGGTTTTCAGCACCTCCTGTTCCCGCTTCTGTCCTCCCGTGCACTTAGCAACATCTTAGTCAGGGTTCAGCTCCTGTGGCTTCTGTGGGTACTGCACTCACGTGCACATACCCACTGTCTTAGGATTTCTTTTACTGTGACCAAGGTAGCTTAAACACATTTAACTGGGCTTACAATTTCAGAAGACCAGAGTCCATGATGGCTGAGCAAAGGTGTAAGGACAGGAACAGCTGAAGCTCATATCTTGATCTGGAAGTAGGAGGCAAAGAGAGAACACACTGGGGGTGATGGAGAGCTGAGCCGGTGTGGCCGTGGTAGGGGCAGAGTGACATGGTTCCTGCCCCTGGGACAGGATTCTGGTGGGAGCCTCTATGAGTATCGATGGCTGCTGTGAGCATAAGGCTCATTCGTGTAATTGTGTACATATTTTCTGGATCCACTAGCAGTGGAAGACTCTTACCTTCCGAGGAATGTTCTCCCTGTATATTTTAATGACTTCGTGATAACCAGCACAAGTCCATGAGGCTAAGGTGTGGCTATGTCTCAGCAAAATGGTAAACATTGGAACCTTTAGGACAGCCCTTAAGGCTAGGGGAAAGAGCTCCAAATACAAGAGTTTGGAAATATGTAATTCCTCAACTATGTAAACTATAAAGATGCAGTATGAGTTACATGAGGGGGCTTCGTGAATCTAAAGGAACAGAAGCAGCTGAGCTGTGAGCCAACTTGTCAGAAAGATACTAAAGAAGGTGATGGAGAGATTTAGGAAGTGGTGATCAAAGGAGATCCCAACCAGATAAGATTTTTGTTTATGCTTACAAAAGCAGATAGATTCCTGAGTTCAGGATCAGCTTAGGATAGAGTAGGGTTAAACTCAGGCATGGTGGAAATGGTAATTTTAGGGCAGAGTCCTACCCAACTAGCTTATTGTTTGTGGTAACAAAGGCAGACAGATCTCTGAATTCTTTTGCAATGTTAAAGGGAAAAAAAATGTATGCTTACTGTCTCCTAAGAATCAAAAGGCTGGAGTCTTGGGGTGCTGATTGATGAGATAATCAAAAGGAAAACCTGGAGTAAATGACTGGATTGATATTTAAAATAAAAGACTGGACTTGTGTTCTGCAGAAGATGAGCTATTCCAAGAATTTTTTAGCATAAAAAGAGAGAACTGTTTGGAGAACACACACACACCACATGCAGAAGCACATGGACAGACCTCTTAGAATAGCAAGCAAGCCGAATATAGACAGAGAAATCTCTAGAGAGAAAGCAGAACACAGAGAGAAGCAGACTGGAAAAGCTGAATCAAGGAGAGCACAGGTTGTCAGCTTGTAGCCACAATTTGACCTCAAGTCATTCTTTTCGAAGCTCCCAGACACCTCTGGGCTGGTCCTTGGCAATGGGGCTTTGAATCCTCAAAGCTTACCTCTATAGCACACTTCCTTCAACAAGGCCACTCCTCCTAGTCCTTCCCAAACAGTTCCACCAATTGAGGACCAAGTGTTCAAACATATGAGCCTATGGGGACCATTTCCATTCAAACACACACACACACACACACACACACTTAAAATAAAGTAGACTTTTTTAAAATGATACTTCTGTCCTTTTGTGCTTAGTTGGAAAAGGGCAAAGGTTAACAGGATAAGGATGTGGCTTAGTCAGCATAGTGCTTGCCTAGCATATACGGGGCACTAATTAATCCTCAGCATCACATAAACCAGGTATGTGGATGCATACCTATAATCTCAGCATTTAGGAGACAGAAGCAAGAGGAGCAGAGATCCAAGGTCACCCTCGGCTACATACCCAGTTCAAGACAATCCTAGGCTAGAGACCCTGTCTTAAAATAATAACAATGAGGGCTAGAGATGTGGTGCAGTGGTTAAGAGCGCTTGCTACTCTTAGGGACCTAAGTTCAGTTCCCAGCACCCACATGACAATTCACAGCTGTCGGTAAGTCCAGTTCCAGGGAATCTGATGCCTGCTTCTGGCCAAGCACACAATGGAGTACAGACATACATACAGTCAAAACATCCATACACACAAAATCAAAATAAATAAATATTTTAAATGATAGTGAAAATGAAATCCCCTGGTCTCGGGTTGTCTGTTTGCCTAGCATGTGTGAGGCCCTGGTTTTGATCCTCAGGCCCATAAGATAATCAATCAATCAATAATCAATCAATCAAATCCCCATCCACAGTGAAATCTCAGCCTGGTAAGATGACCCAGGAACCATCAACTGCAGGAGATTATGGCTCAGACTGGAAGGAAGCTCTGTGATGGGAAGGACTGTCTACTTTCGTCAACACTATGAACCCAGAGTTTGACATGTGTAGGAGCCAAGAAACCTACTTATCAAGTATGTGAATGTTACGGAGTAAAGAGTAGTATGTGTGTGGTATGTGTGTGAGTGGTGTGTATGTGGTGTATATATGGTATGTGTCTTAGTTAAGGTTTTACTGCTGTGAACAGACACCATGACCAAGGCAACTCTTATAATGACAACATTTAATTGGGGCTGGCTTACAGGCTCAAAGGTTCAGCCCATTATCAACAAGGCAGAAACATGGCAGGATCCAGGCAGGCATGGGGCAGGAGGAGCTGAGAGTTCTACCTCTTCATCTGAAGGCTGCTAGCAGAATACTGGCTTCCTGGCAGCTAGGATGATAAGAGTCTTAAAGCCCACGCCCACAGTGACACACCTATTCCAAGAAGACCACACCTCCAAATAGTGCCACTCCCTGGACCAAGCATATTCAAACTATGACATCGTGTGTGTGTGTGTGTGTGTGTGTGTGTGTGTGGTATATGCACAAGTGTGCACATGCAGAGTCAAGAGGAAGTTGAGTGTCTGTTCTTCATTGTATTCCTGTGAGACTCTCACTGAACCTGAGCTAGGCTAGCAGCCAGCAAGCCCAGTGATCCTCCTGACTCCACCCTACACAGCATCAAGGCTAGAACTGCACACACACACACACACACACACACACACACAGAGCTATGTCCAGCTGTTTTGTTTTTTTGTTTTTTTAATATGCGTTCTGGGATCTGAGCTCAAGTCTTTGTGTTTACGCAGCCCTTGCTCTTACCCACTGAGCCACTTTCCAGCTCCAAACATCTTCATTTTCATGTTCAATGTTTGACATATTTGGGAAAGAAACAAATTGATCCTTTACCTAAAGCATGGCTCTGCTTTGCCATATAATTTATAGTCTGCAAATGACAGACTAGAACAAAACAAAAAAGCAATATTTAAAGCTCTCTATCAGCAGGCAAAAAAAAAAAAAAAAAATTACACTTACCATACATCAGTTCAGCCTGAGACCCCCAATAGGCCTGGAGAAGCGGTTTAGAAACAGTTGCAAAAATTCTGTTTGAGGTGTAATTAAATAACCAGCTCTCAGCAGGAGTTTGAATGGGTAACATGAGATACCTAGAGTGTATCAATGGCTTCACAGCCCAAGTTTCTGACTTAATAGCTTCTCAGGCCTCTAGCTGAATATGTGTGTCATGTTCTATGTGGCAGTGCTTTATCTAAGTAGATTGGTTAGCTTTAAATATGTTTATAGGAGCAGGAGGTTATAGCTCATGGGTATAATATATGTTCAGCATGACAAGGCCCCGAACTTCAATCCCCATCCCTCCCCACCAAAAAGAAATACTTGCAAACTTTCTAGGAAGATATATCACACAGTCTTGCTCCCAGCGGCCCAACAACTTTGTAGAACAATGTGTGAGGTAGAGAATGGGAAGAGGTCTCTGGGATACCTGGAGAGTAATAGACACTTAATAGACGGTAAGTGTCTTCCCACAGCCTTAGGACTTCCAGCTGAGGATTAACCGTGCCTCCCGAATCTGGATAATGGTCAGAAAGATGCCAGTGAAAGAAATAAAATTAAGTAAGCAAAAGAAATGTCTCAGAGAGAGATAAAAATGAATGTTTTTTTTTTTTAAGGAGGATAAGATTTTAAAATGTGAACCTCTTCAGGAATTTATGTGTCATCCCACACAGAGACCATACTAATCTCTTTAATTGTTCCGATTTTAGATGCAAGCTGCCAAAACCAGAAGCACATGAATTTTTAGAGAATTTTATATAAATGATATTTTTATAGGCTGCTAGGCCTCATCTCTGCACCATCTTCAAGCTTAGTTGCATATGTAGCATGGTGCTTTCTTTCTTTTTCTTCTCCCTCCCCCTTGCCCTCTCTCACTTCCTCTCTCTTTTAACACAAGAGTAGTCACTGTTGCCCAGGCTGGCCTCAGACTCCTGAGCTCAAAGGCTGAAGCTTCCCCAGCCTCCAAAATAGATGATGCTATAAGAACACACCCACATCTGTCTTCTCCATCTCCTCCCCTCTCCTCTTCTCAGCTTTATTGTCTCCTCCTCTTCTGCCTCTTCTTTTGTCTCCTCTTCCTCCCCTTCTCTTCATCATCTTCCTCCTCCTCTTTTTAACTGTTGTGAGGAGCATGAAAACTGGAGAAAACATTGCATTGGTTAGAAAAATAACTCCAGAATAATGACCTCTAAGTTTTTAGCAACCTGACATGGAACATACCGGTCTGCAAAAGAGAACTCTTCCTTTGGACATCCATGTCTCTAGGGTTGGTTGAAGCTCACTTCTTCCACTCTCTGCTTACACAGTAGGTAGCTCAGCCCTCTTTCCAAAAGTGGGGTATTCCATCATGGTCCTGACTTGGTGCGGGGACCCTAGCTCTCTCTATTTTCCACTATCTGGGGATAAGGCAGCTGCTCTCTGTTCTAGAGGGGCAACATTGTCCTGAACTAAGGAGTAGATGAATCAGAGAGTTATCAAATCTTATAGAGGCCACTGGCTGGTTGCCATTGACAATGGCAGTGCCGCTCAGTGGTCTCCTCATGATGAGCTTCACTGTGTGACCCCCCGGACTGGCAGCTTCAGCGGCACCATTAGAAATGAAGACCCTCAGGCCATGCCAGACCTTCCAAGTCAGCTCAGACAGGCAGGGCTAGCTGCCTTTTTTTTTTTTTAAGATTTATTTATTTATTTTATGTATGTGAGTACACTGTCGCTGTCTTCAGACACACCAGAAGAGGGTATCAGATCCCATTACAGATGGCTGTGAGCCACCATGTGGTCCTGGGAATTGAACTCAGGTCCTCTGGAAGAGCAGTCAGTGCTCCTCAGAACCACTTTTCCAGCCTGCTAGCTGCCAATTTTTAAACTACTCTACTTGACTGTTTGAGACAGAGTCACTTGTAACTCAGGCTGGTCTCAAATTTACTATGTAGTTGAGGATGGCCTTCATCTCCTGCCTCTATGTCCCAAGTACTGGAATTGCAAGTTCGATACCATGCTTTGTGTTTATGTAGTGTTAGGGATAGAGCTTTCTTGTATGTGAAGCAGGCACTCTGCCAACTGAGCCACATGCCTAGTCCCTCTGACCTTGAGGAGCTAGGTTATAAAAACTCAATCTGGGATGTGTCTGAAACTTTCTGAAGTACAGGTCAATGTACCTTCCTGAAGCCAGTCCAGCTGCCCAGGGGCAGTTATTGTTCGGTTTGTGTTGTTGTTTTCGGATTCTCTGAGGACCTGGCTTTCCTATCCCCAACAATGAATGCAAGCAACCTCAGACAGAAGCACTAAGTCCGTGAGCGCCTCCAAGGAGGCCCTAGAGAATAAGCCAGCTAGGAGGAAGCTCTTTAATTAACACTAAGGCTGTGACTCTGGCCGCCATGTTATTAATTACTGCCTGTTACTCCCCTGTGGCATCCTTTGTACAAGCTATTACTCACTCGCACCGCACCGCCCTGCCCAACCCTCCAGCTTTCCCTTCTTACTAGTTACTCAACGTTTTTTACTAGACTGCTATGCAGTGATTTGAAAGTGAAACCAGGGCGACTCAGAATTGGAACAAAGTTGCAACAAAGTTGCATCTGGCCGAAGGATTTCCTTAAACACACAGAAAACGCCCTACAGTGGAATGGACAAAACTTTCGAGCAAGAGCCGCAGAAATCTTACTGCTCTGGAAGTTTCCAGCTGACAGGAACCTTTTGTGTTAATCTAGTCCATATGCTTCATTTACTTTTTTTTTTTTTTGCCCTTTTCTTGAAAGTGATAGAGGGAGGGGAATGGGGAATTCTTGTTTTTAAAAATATGTGTTTTTTGTTTTGTTTTGTTTTGTTTTGTTTTTTGTTTTTTTTGGTGGTGGTGGTGGTTGGTTGATTGTGTTTTATTTTTGCTTTGAGACAAGGTAACATGTCACTCAGGCTGGCCTCAAACTTATTTTTAGCCAAGGATGATCTTGAACTTCTTCCTGTCTCCACCGTTTCCAGGCATGTGCCACCATGCCCAGTTTTAAAGTGGTTAAGTGGCTCATGGGTTGTGGGCTCTTTAAGCCTGCGTGTCCCTGTGTGTTAGTGTGCAGTGGTGGAGGGAGGAGTCTGTGTACTGGGCGACGGGGTGGAAAGTGGCTAAAGCTGGGAGCTGAGGATGCCTGAGTCACTCAGAGGGAGTCCATTTACTGCCTTGGGTCTCAGTTTACTTATATCCAAAATAAGGGATGCCATGGGGTGTGACACCTGTAACCCTACCTCCCAGGTGCAAGCAGGTTCTGAGTTTGAGTCCAGCTGGGGCTGCATAACAAAGCTCTATCTCAAAAATAAAGCCAAAACTGGGTGTGGTGGCCCACACCTACGATCCCAGTACTCAGAAGGTAGACAGAGGCTGGGGGAATCAAAAGGTCAAGATCCTCGGCTACAGAGCAGTCACACGCCCTAGAACATGACCTCCTGTCAAATAAATAAGTGAATAAAGACACAACATAAAGGAATTTACCACTGGAGATTACAAAATTTGTCAAAGGCTTACAGTGATGTCCCCGGAGTCTGTGCAGCTGAGAGAAGCCCTCCCCTCATCCTTCTTCCCTTGATAGCCTCTGAGATTGTGGGTCATTGTTGCAGATTTCAAGAGAAGGAAGGGGATAGATAGATAGATAGATAGATAGATAGATAGATAGACAGATACGCAGGCCTCTTTTTGGAGTTTGATTTGAGACTTTCAAGCTTTTAAAGTTGGGGACCTACTGCACCCCCCTTTTCTTCTGCAGAATTTGGAATCCAGAGAAAACACTCCTGAGGGCACAGCTTACCTGTAATGACCAATAAGAAGATACCAAGGCTCCTTCAGAATCCAGTCCTACCCTCTGTGAACGAACTACACAGCTGGGCCAGTGTAGCTGTGCCTGTTACATATTTTCTGTCAGTAAGAAGTCGGGTATCCATTCTGAGTTGATAGTTAAATGAGTGAGAATGAGACGCCTGAGACATGCCACCACAAGTAATAACTAACTGAACAACCAGACTTCCAGAAAAGTCTAAGGAAAGGCAGGTTCCATTAGGCTGATCACCCTGGGCCTGGTGCTTTTATCAGTACAGTAATGGGCAATGGCACCTCCGCATCAAGCCTACTGCAAGATGAGCTCCCTGTCTGTCAAGTGCTGTGGATCAAACAAGGCCCAGGTGATGATGGCTCAAGTTTGTAAGAGCTTGGGAGTTAGAAGCAGGTGTGGTTCTGTGAATTTGAAGCTAGCCTAATCTACATTAGTTTCAACCAAATCGCCCAGACTCTGACTCAGAAAGCAAATAAACAAAGGAGCAGAGAAACACATGTACCAGTAGATGCTTGTCTTTGTGTGGGCTGCTACAACATGATGTCATAGACTGGGATAGACTAGCAGCTTGTAAACAGCAATTGACTTCTCAAAATTCAACCATCTAGAAAGCCCAGCGTCAAGACACCAGCAGATGCGGTGTCTGAGGAGGACCTAACTTCTGTAACTTTCGTACTATACCTTCCCACAGTAGGGGTAATGGTTTGAAAATACAATGTCCCCACAGGCTCAAGTGTTTGAACACTTGGTCTCCACGTGGTAGCACCATTCAGGAATTTTGGAGAACCTTACAATGTGGAGCGTGGCTACAGGAAGTGAATCAGTAGAGTCTGGCCTTATGGGTCATAGTCAAGCCTGTTTCTAACCCAAGTTCTTCCTCTCTCTGTCTCTGCTTCCTGCACTGTGGAGATGTGAGGAATCCCAGACACGTTCTCCACAGTGTGAACTCTGCTGTGCCTTCTCTGCCATTGTAGGTGATGACTGCTCAAACTGTAAGCCCAAATAACTCTTTCTCTTCTCTTCAATTTTTTTTCACACTGATGTGAAAAGGTAGCTATCTGGGGCGAGGCCTCTCTCTTAAGGGTGCTAGTCCACTTCACATGGACTCAATTTCCACAACCTGACCACTCCTGCCTCCACCTCTCAAGTGCTAGAATTACAGGTGGGCGTCACCACCTGGGTGTTTAGCCCGTCCTTAGGAATGAACCAGGACTTCCTGCATGCTTGACAAGCACTCTATCAACTGAGCCAACATCTCCAAGCTCCCAAAGCCTCATCTTCTAAAGCAGCGGTTCTCAACCTGTGGGACTGCGACCCTTTCACAGGGGTCACCTAAGACCATTGGGAAACACGGGTATTTATATTACAATTCATGACAGTAGCAAGATTACAGTTATAAAGTTGCAACAAAAATAATTTTATGGTTGGGGGTCACCACAAAACAAGGAACTGTATTAAAGGGTCACAGCATTAGGAAGGTTGAGAACCACTGCTCTAGAACAACATCTTGGGGGCTGGGTTCTCAACAGATGAGGCAAAAGGAGAAGGCATGTCGAGACTCTAGGGTGGCTGTGTGGATGCAGTTGACCTAAATTGCTTCTGTCAACCCCTTGGAGTGATGGGTGCTTCTGATTAGAATCACCTGTGGCAAATCTTAACGGGTAATTTACCGGTTGGATTCTAAAAGCTTTGACCTCAGAGCTGGTTTTCCCCTAGGGAAGATCTGGAAATGCCTGTTCAAGCTATAGAGTGCCCTAAACATTGCAAACCAGCCAGTTAAGGAAGGTATCTGCTGGAAGCGAGCTCAGCCCACAGAGCAGTGCAGTGGTTTCTCTTTAAATGAGTGATGGTAAAGGGCTTTCCTCTTGTGGAAGAGACTCTGCAGCAGGAGTAACTAGAAAACCCACGATTGAGCAAATGCTCCTGCTTGAAAACAGAGAGGGCTACGGATGTTTAGGGACTTTAGAGATGGATGCTTCTGAGATTTTCAATTTGTTGAGCTGCACAAAAACAAAAGAAACAAAACATAACATACACTCTCATTTCCTTGAGCTAACCCTCTCTAAAGTTATTTTTACTTTTGCCTTAAAAGAATCATCTTTAGGGCCAGTGAGATGGCTCAGAGGGTATAGGTGCTTGCTGCCAAACCTGACAACTTGAGTTCAATCCCCACGCGGTGGACGAGAGTACTGACTCATGAAAGTTGTCCTCTGACCTCCACACATGAGTGTGTATGCACCCCACCACACACATACACACACACACATGCACGCACGCACGCACGCACGCACACAAACATAAACAATAAATGAGCATGCCAGCTTTAGGCCACATTCTTATATAAACAGCTCCCAACTCTGTCTCCAAGCTGTTAATTCTTCAAAGGATTCTCCATTGACAAGCCAATCCCAAGCCGCATTTACTTGTCAGAAGGTCCATGTTGTGAGGACATGAATCTCAGAAGAACATGAGAGGCTAGGGCTATATAATAGCTCGGTAGTAAACATTTGTCTGGGGTGAAAAAAGGACAAATGGGAGCCTGAGGTGGAGGGTCGTGCGGGGTGGGGGGAGGGGAGGACACACACAAAGCTCCAGGTGAAGGAAGCTCTTAGAATAATGCCCTCTTTGGTACAAAGAATTTCAGGGGTCTAAGGAGATCGCTCAGCAGGTAAGAACTATTGCTGCATAAGAGAGAGTGTCTAAATTGAAATACCCAGAACTACAAACAAAGCTCCACTTGGCCTTAGTATGCCTGTGACCCCAGGGCTCTGGAGTTAGAGACAGAAGGATAACTGAGCCCTTATCATCTACCAGCCTAGCTCCAAGTTCAATGAGAAACCTCGTCTTAAAGAATGAGGTAGTGATACAGACTACCCAATGTCCTCTTGGCCTCTGCACATGCACGCACACATGCAGGCATGCATATTCATATTCTGTTTCAGCCATCTTTTTCTTCTCAGCTTTCTGAGGCTCTGGTGTTCTCAGAGACCTTGGACAGGGCACTTTCTTTCCCTGAACATGAGTTTCCTCATCAGGAAACTCAAGGGGGGGGGGGGGTCAATAAAGAACAAAGGATCCCAATATTCCAGCTTCAGATAAACGGCATAGTGATACATCCATCTCCCTCTCCCATCAGATAATAGGCACCAGGGTTTGAAGACATAAGTGAGAAAATAAAGGTAAGGTCTGGTTCGTATCATAAGCATTCCTCCCATTCTATTCAAAATATCCATCTCTGTAAGAGTGTTCTCTGAATTCCATTCTTTGGAATGTAGCCCCATATATGAAAATAGGACTCCTAAGTCAAAAAGTTAGGTCTCCATGTGCATATATATTGAAATAGCCCCTTCTGGAACGAACAGGGTATCTCAAGGGCCTCATGAAACTCAGAAGAAACTTGCAAGACTCTGGAAGTTCATGAAAATTACAAGACTCAAAAGGCCTCATCCTTGAAGTTATATGAGTAACAGACAATCCCAGGGAGGAGCAAACCCTTTAGGAGAGATGCCTGTAAGTTGAGCAGGAGACTCCATGATGCAGTTTTAGTGCTGTGTCTGCTGTGTTAGGCAGCCTTTCTGGTGACACAGCTGCCATCATGCACAGTCTTCCATGTTCCTTATGCTCCCATAAGTAACCCCAATAAACCCATCGACTCACAGCTGGACTGGACTTATGTAGACTCTCTTCTGTCAGGGTTGTCTCTACTGGGATGAACAGACAGAGTCCAGAAAAAGATTTACAGTCTTGAAGACTAACGGGGAAGAAATTTCTTCTTTCTTTTTTTTTTTTCTTTTTTTACCAACCCCATGCTTTTCATTTCCTTGACTGGAGTCTGGTTTTCACAGGATAGTCATCCACACTTCACAGCACAGGGGTTCCTTTAACCCCCACTTTGGAGACTCATGCCCTAGCATATGATGAAATCACCTTTTGGGTTCTAAATACTTAGAAGAAAAATTATGGAAACTGATAAAGAAAACAAGTTCAAAAGAGATTTCACATTTTCCAACATCCCTGGCTTTCTAAGAAACACAGGAATGCCCTTTGGCCTGCTATCAGGCAACAATAACATTTGAAACGCTATTCATACAACACCCATTTATCATCATTATTTTTATGATTGTTATGCAAAAAGAAAAGTATCAACTTGTGTCCTTTAACTATTGAATTTTATCTTATTTATTCTGTGGTTTTTGTTTTAGGTGTGTGTGTGATCTTTGAGTATAACATATACACTCATCTGTGTAGTACATTAGTACATGCAAGCATATTATGTGTTCGTTACCTTTGAGTGTAGTATATATACACACATGTTGTCTGGGTATAGTGTATCTACACATGTGTGCTGTCTGAATGTAGTATATGCATGCATATGTATGTTGTCTATGAATGTAGTATCTGCATACATGTTTAACTATGAGTGTAGCATATGCACACATATGTGTGTTGTCTGTGACTGTGGTACATGCATGCATGGGGTGACAGAGGAGGGCACTGGGCCCTCCATCACTCTCCCCTTATTCCTCTGAAGCACAGGTGCTCCCTGGACCCTCCAATTTTTAAGTAGTATGACAGTCAGCAAGCATCAGTGATCCTCCTGTCTCAGCTGCCCAAGCAGTGGGGTTACAGGTATAGAGGAGATCACTCTCGGTTTGTTTCAAGAGTGCCAGGGTCCAAACTCAGATCCTGGGTGGTTATACTCATAACCACTGAGCCCTTTCTCTGGCTCCTGCTGCTTGGCTTGTAGGGAATGGCAAGGAGGTTTTCTCTGTCATGACAGCTTTGATCAATGGGGAGAGGTTGATCCAAGTACTGCAGGAAAAGGATTATAAGGCTTTCAGTAGCGGGAAAAAATATACTGTGACTGATTCTTTTTTTTTTTTTAAGATTTATTTATTTATTTTATGTATGTGAGTATATTGTATCTGTCTTCAGACTCACCACAAGAGGGCATCAGATCCCATTACAGATGGTTATGAGCCACCATGCGGTTGCTGGGAATTGAACTCAGGACCTCTGGAAGAGCAGTCAGTGCTCTTAACCACTGAGCCATCTCTCCAGATCCACTGTGACTGATTCTTAATGCCTGCCGCGGTGTAGATTAATGGAAAGCAGGAAAGGGTGTAGATCCTCAAGAAGTCAAAAAACAAGCAAACAAA